AGGGGAGAGGAAAGGGAAAGGAAAGAGAGAGAGAGAGAGAAAGAGGAAAGAGAGGGAGAGGAAAGAGGCATAAAATAATTCATTTGCATTTAATTGTAATGGTTCAAAGAATGTTCGGAAAAATGTTCGGCCCTCCAGCACGTTCACTTCATCCAATCTGGCCCTCTTTGAAAAAAGTTTGGACACCCCTGGTTTAAAGCTTCAGTCTTGAACTATTGACTCTCCATTCCCTTCACTTATACAAGTGTCTCTAGCCCTGCAAAAAACATATTTATTTAATCACTTATCAGTGAGAGGCTAGGTTACCCATGGGCGCTGCGTTCCCTGTAACAGCAGAACACAACACTATGGAAAGTATAAGTATTGCCGCTCCTAATTATGCGTTGCGTGCCATATAGTGAAGCACATGAAAAGCATGCTTCTTCACGGTCACTTAACGTGTTCGTTTTGTGGTTACGTGAAGCACTGCATGCATTGGTCTTTATTCTTACAGTAGAGAAGTCATTAATTATAACTTTTTGTGAATTGGGACATTTAAACTTGCTTTTTTTTAAATTCCAATCTAAATTTAGTAGGAGTCGGAGTCGGTGCATTGTTTGTCGACTCCGACTCTGACTCCAGGTACCCAAAATTTCCTCTGACTCCGACTCCTCGACTCCGACTCCGACTCCACAGCCCTGCCAAAAACTAAGGCATCGCATACGCAAAAGGGAAGGAAAGAGAATTCAGAACACATTTCTGATTCTTATCCTTTGTTTCTGCTTCTTGGGACGTTTGCACTTATGAGCTCCATCCCATCATGACTTCTTGATTCCTGCTTTCTTGCGAGACATTTTTTATTTTATAATATATTACAGGAATGGGGAAAAAATAGATCCAGCAAACTGCAGACCAATCAACCTGGTATCAGTAAATTCAATGGATATACTATACTTGGACTTCTGTGAGGCATGTGACAAAGCCGACCACAGTCTACTTCTTGGTAACACACAAAAAAATGTGGGATAGACAGCATCACCACCAGAGGGATTCATAACTATCTTGACCAATCGCACTCACCATGTAGTCCTCAATGGAGCTACATTACGGTTTCACCCAGCACCTTGGAAGCAAAACACAATTTCTCTGCATTGCTCTTTTGTCCAATAAAGATTAAAAAAAAAATGCTTATTCTCCAAACCAAGATTTAATCAAGATTTGTTGACTTCCGATGGTGACAGCTGCGGGGATGGCGGCTTTCTTCTAGCCGCCCGCCTGGGACTGCGTTAAAGTCTGAAGAAACAGCGGTCAACAGCTGTTTCTCGGCTTGGAACCTCTTTCCTCGGGTGAAGAGGAAGGGGTGAGTTTGCTCGGATAGAGATAGAGCTCCCTTTCTCCTCCATCTGTTTTTTTTGGAGGATGAAAGGTGAGAACTCTCTTGGAGTCTGGGTCTTCTCCGCACCCCAAGACATCTTTGTTCCTTTTTTAGGAACAAAGCCAGACACAGCTTCCACATCTGCTGCCTAAAGAGATTTATGATTACAATTAAGAGCAGACGGGGCTGACCAGGAGGATCAGATTTGTCAGAACTTGGAACTTTAACTCAAGAGACAAGTAAAGTATCTTCTCTATTTATAGTAAAGGAAGAAGTGAAAATGGCGGAGGAATGCGGTTTCCCGTTATGAAAGACTCTTACTTTTACTTTCCACTTTCTATTTGGTAACTATCCTGAAACAATGTAACGGAATTTGGTGGCTTACTTAGAGAGCAAGTTCCTTTCTCTTGAATCGGGGGGGGGGGGATTTTTTCTACTATCCCCTCCTTTCTTTTTTTGGTAACTGTTTGCTTTACAAGACTAAATAAATTTTACAAGAAGTGGTCACAGTTTGAAAATGGCTTCAAAATGCTTTGGAACTTCGGCTTTGTCTAAGCCTCCCCCACCTCCTCCTTCTACACCGGTACTTACTCTCAAGGATTTACAAGATGCTCTGGAAAAAACAGTAAGGCAGATTCGACAAGAAACTGTAGAGCTTCTTGAGGAGAAAATCAGGGTGTTGAGGGAGGACATATTGCTGGCTTGCCAAGGATTAGCACTTCATATAGAACGCTTGGATAAAACGGTGGATGAAGTTGTTGAGAATGTGGAAAAATTAGAAGATAGAATTGGAAAAATGGAAAATAATGATGATACAATACAGAATGAAATGACTATGTTACAATATAAAGAAATGGAATATGCTTTGCGTATAAGGGGGTTGAAGGAAGATTCGCAAGGAAACTTGAAAGTAGAAATCTCAGCAGATTTAGCTTTTATTTGGGGCTGTGGACCTGACCTGAAGAAATTTCTAGAGAAATAGAAAACATTTTCAGGGTTAATTCATGGATTGCAAGGCAGAGAAATTTACCAAGAGATGTGGTTATTTATTTTTCCAAGAGATCACTTCGTAATGAAGTTATACAAGCTTTTTATAAGCAGAGATTTCAGATTGCAGCTCAGGATGTTATAATTTTGAAAGAAATACCTTCTAAAATTCTTAGAAAGAGAAAAGACTTTGCCTTTTTGACTGAGGAGTTGAAAAAACGTCATGTGCAATTCAGATGGGATATACCTGTGGGGATTGTGATGAACTATAAAGGGACACGTTACAGACTTAATACAATTTTGAAAGCAAGAGATTTCTATGTTTCGGTTCTGAAGGCAAGTCCACCACCATCCCCACAATTTGAGAGAAGTGAACAAAAATCTGAAGAGCAGTCGACTGAAGGAATAACGTCATTAGCAGTAGCAAGCTTGCAGGTGGAACCTAAGCAACAGTGTTTGGAGATAAAAGATTTAAAAGAACAGAGAATGACTCGTGCGGCTTATAGAGCCAAGAAAAAAGAGCAGCAAAAGACTGGATTTGTGTCTTAGATTTTAAACTTAATTATTTAAAGTCTTTTCT